AGTCCTTTTGTTATTAGTCCCTTAGCTTTTTGTTTCCCTCTTTAGGAGGAAGCCCAGGGTGACTGTGCTAGGCTGTGAAAGGCTTTGGTTTGGGAGCTAGCAGGAGCTTGGGAAGTCTTCTGGCCCCAAGTCACTTAAGAGTTGTGTATCTGTTTTGATGGGCTGCTGTAAGATCTATGGCGGCTTGGAAAGCTTTCCCTCCACCAGTGCCTGGCATGGTGCCTGGCATGGATTAATCACCCTGCAAGTGCCATCATCTGATGCTCATTTCTTTTGGAATGGGTCTGATATGATAAAGGGGTCTGGCCTAAGGGGGAGGGTGGGGTCAGCCTGTGGTACAGAAACCTCCATTTTCTAGGGGTAATAGAGTTCCTGGACCCCCTTTTCTTTTTTCTTTTTTTCGGTGGGTCGCGGGGCTTGAACTCTGGGCCTGGGCACTGTCCCTTAGCTCTTCAGCTCGACTTCCGGTTTTCTAGTAGTTTATTGGAGATAAGAGTCTCATGGACTTTCCTGCCCGGGCTGGCTTTGAACTGCTATCCTCAGATCTCAGCCTCCTGAGTAGCTAGGATTATAGGTGTGAGCCACCGGCACCCAGCCTGGACCCCCTTTTCATTCAGCAGGTATGTCTGGTTTATAGCTGGCACAGAGAACAGAGTGTGGCTTTTGGTTCATGTGATTCTGAGTGAAAAGTGTTCTTATTCTACAGTGGAGGCCAAGCAAGCTGTCTTTATAATGTTCGCTTCCGTTGGCCTCCATTTTCCACATCTGTCAAATGGGAATAAAAGTACCTACTTCTTAAGATTGTTGTTTACATTTCAGTGATGCTGTGTACATCCAGCTCTACAAATACTGGTTATCCAGGATGTGAAGTTCTTGCCCAGAGTTTTGAGTGGTCTCTGAGAGGCCAGAACTAGGTGCATAGTACTTGAAGAAGAGCTACAGGGGAGATACTGTGAATTCTTAGATTTTCAGGGATGGGAGACGGGGCAGGGCTGGGGTAGGGAGTGTCCTCAGGCGACTTTGGGGTACAGCACATCATAGAAGTCCTTCTTGCTAGGTAGACTTAACGATATCTACACATCTGAAGCCTTCATTGACTGACTGATCTTCAGGGGCAAGGCCTAGGGGTCCCCCTGACCTGGCTACTGCTCTCTGAGCTCACTTAATCTCATCTCTCCTGAATTGCCTCCTGTGCTTACTCTATTCCAGCCTTACTAGCCTCCTCTGTTTCAGGGAAGCCACCATCCACTTCACGGCCTTGCCACTGGCTCATGTCTGACTAGAAGGCTTTGTTGTACCTGCCCTGGCTGGATCCTCACTCAGGGCTCTCTTCCAGTGTGCTTTTCCTAGAGCAGTACCTTCCAGTCAGAGCTCTTCAGTCTTTACCACCTAAACTCATATTAGTGTGTTTCACTCATATATTCATCAAGTATTTATTGGCTTCATAGTGTATGCCAGGCTCTGGTTTAGACCCTGGGGATACTGGTGAGCAAGATAAAGCTCCCCTCCTTTAGCTGAGTAAAAGGGAAATTCCTGGCCTTCCTTTTTTTTTGTTGTTGTTGTTGGTCATGGGGCTTGAACTCTGGTCCTGGGCACTGTCCCTCAGCTCTTCAGCTCAAGGCTAGCGCTCTACCACTAGAGTCACTACACCACTTCCAGTTTCCTGAGTAGTTTATTGGAGATGAGTCTCATGGACTCTCCTGCCCAGGCTGGCTTTGAACTTCGATCCTCAGCTCTCAGCCTCCTGAGTAGCTAGGATTACAGGCATGAGCCACTGGCACCCAGCTTGGCTTGGCCTTCCTTTTATACAAGGTCAGGATTTGTGTGTGATGGAGCTGGTTTGGAAGCTCAGTCTGACTTCTTTCTTATATATATGGCTCTTAATATATATATGTGTGTGTGTGTGTATATATATATGTATATATATACACACACACACACACACACACACACACACACACACACACACACACACACACACACACACACACACACACACATATATGGCTCTTGTCAACCCCCAGCCTCTTGACTTTTACTGACTTCGTGAACGTTTTTTTTCTTTGCTAGTTCTGAACTCCCTGCTTAGTAATCAGTATGTCACACAGTGGAGCCAATTGGAGGAATCCTAGGCTAGGGGAGCAGATCTGCCCAGGCTGGCTTTAAACTGTGATCCTCAGATCTCAGCCTTCTGAGTAGCTAGGATCACAGGTGTGAGCCACCAGCTATGCTGAAATTATCTTGTTCTTGTTCTGTCATCTTTAGGTGTTCTCTGCTGATCACAGGATCTTTTGGATTCTGTGGTGTCACACTGCTCAAATGGGTAACTGTGGCAAGTGAGGGGCTGAACTCATATGCTGAATTGCTACCACCACTGAGCGTGATTCTGTAGTGGGCATCTCCCAGGCAGCCCTAGGCTCCTGTCTGGCTGCTCCCAGAACAGAGCTCTTTCCCCTGGGAATCATCAGGAGGGCTGGGGGAGGGGAGTGGGCACTATGCCAAGTCTGATCTTGTGACCCCCTCGTCTACCATCTGACAGCTGAGACTCCCCTCCCTTAGCTCTGGCTTCTGTATGTTTAGATAAGGACTTGGGAGCAGAATTGTGATCCGTAGGTATAGTTGGAATCCTATATCTTCCCCATTCCTGCCCCTCCCCTCAAGCAGAGTACCCACAGTCTCTGAGCCTTAGTGTCCCTGGAATCTATCTATCCTGCAAGGGAGGTGGGGTTGGCTAATGGGCGGGATTAGAGGCAAAGGTAGGAGGAGGGCCTGGAGCAGCCCCTCCCCCTCTGCCAGGAACCACACAGCCACTGGAGGGCAGGCGGGCTTGTATTGCAACCCTGCATCTCTTCACCATAGCTGGGCTATGGTGAAGGTACTGCCCAGTGCTCTGGGGAGATTACGGTAGGGGACAGTGCGCCTGCAGTCATGGTGGTGTTCCTGGGCCGCCATCTCCCGGCACTTCTTGAGATCTTTAAGAAGAAGGGTGAGTGGGTGTGGCTGTGGAGGGTGGAGAGGGACCCTGAATGCTCCCTTTGCCTGATACTTAGGTAGAATAGGGGAAGAATAGGCTGGGAAGAGTAAGTGGGCGAGGGTGGGGTAGGGATGGTAACTAGGCCAGGCCAGCCCACAGTCTCCAGTGTGCAGGGGTGTCTTTGTCCAGCTGCTTCGTTGCTGCCTTTGTCTGGGCGCTGCTTGTGCTGGGGAGGATGGACACTGATGTTTCTGACCTTGAAGCCTCCTTTAGGGCCAGGCTGTTTCCCTACAGGGTTACTCACACGTTACTGTTACTATTACTGGGTGATATTCAGAGACAAAAAGAAGCCATCCCTGTGGAAAGGGAGCAGTGAGGAAACTAGTGCCTCTGGAAATTGAAGAGCTTTGAGTTTCCATCAGTGAAATGATATTTGAGTGGGTGGAGGAATTTTGGAAGGAGAGACATGTGCCCTTCTTTCTCCTAGGAGACTGGCTTTCAGGCCTGGATTCCAACAGAAGGGACTATAGATTCTTGGATTTTAAGAGGTCCAGGGGACCCCAGTCTGAAAGTGATCTAGTGATTTCCCCTGGAAACACAGTTTAGTCCTGGCTCTGACTCCCTTTTGCTGGGTAACCTTAGGCAAGGCCTTTCCCATTTGAATCTGATTTTCCACTTGTAAAGTCAAGGGATTGGGGGAGCTGATCTTAAGAGATTGGCTGGGGTGCTTTCCAGCTGTGACCTGGCAGGATCTCTGTCTGCTGAAGAGTGGGCTGAGGAAGAGGGAAAGTGTCTGAACTGGAGACCCAGTTTTTGGGGTGTGGCAGCTTGTTCGTTCCAGTCCCTCTAAAAGGTGCTGCCAAGGTCACATGACCCTCCCAGCGCTTTTGCTTATGTTGTGGGTTTCATTTAAAGGGGGAGCTGGGGCTCCAAAGTGCTGATACAGCCCCTCCAGGATTAGATGACCAGCCCCTCGGTGGGCGGAGCCTGTAACAGGATCCTGTGTAATGGATCCCTGGTTTCTCTGCGCCAGGGGCCAGGGCCTCCAGGAGAGGGCATAGCTGGGGCTCTTCCCAGAGGCTGAGTTACCCTGGCTGTGGTTGGAGGGGCCTGGGTTCCTCTCCCTTGCCCATCCTTCCACAAAGGGGCTAGCCCTATGGGTGAGTATGGAGCTCAAGAGGTAATATCTCTGGCCTGTCCTTCCCTAGGGTTTCCTAGGAGTCTGGTTAGGGGCCCTGCCAACGACCACTTTTTCCTGGTTTCCCATGGTATCTTCTCTCTGAACCTGGGCAAAGTGTTGTGTGAAAAGGGAGGTTTGGAATCTGGAGACAAGAAATACATTTGCTATGGGCTATGTGTATATGAGGGATATCTCTCATGGGACCCCAAGTGGGATGTAGATAGATACACAATTGTGTGTACAGGCAGAATGGGGACCATAAGTGTTGTGTGGATATGTGAAGGCTGGGTGGGGTACATATATGAGTTGTTTGTATGTATGTGTATTGGAAGTCTGTGACTGTTATGTGAATAGACAGTGCATCTGTGTGCCCATGGTGTCTTTTTTTTTCATAGGTTTTTTTTTTTTTTTTTTTGTCATCATGGGGCTTGAACTCTGGGCCTGGGTGCTGTCCTTCAGCTCTTCAGCTCAAGGCTAGCGCTCTACCACTTGAGCCACAGTGCCACTTCTGGCTTTTTTTCTGCTTATGTGGTGATGAGGAATTGAACCCAGGGCCTCATGTATGCAAGGCAAGCGCTCTACCACTGAGCCACCTTCCCAGCGCCCCCATGGTATCTTATGTGGGCCCTCTGTGAATCCTCAGATTGGGTATAGCTTTGTGTTTATGCACAGGGGCTGTGGATATTGTGTGCATATACCCCAGAATTGTGGGTTGTGTGTCTAGGCTGGGGTGAGTGGGCAATGCATGTGTGTGCAGGACAGTGCAGTCTGATGACTGGGTGCCTTTGTTTTGGTGCCATTGCATCTCCAGGGTCCACTCTATCATCTCTTCTTCCATCTCACTAGGTTCTGCCAAAGCTGAGAGTGACAAACAGCAGAGTGCTGGGCCCGGCCAGGGGCCAGGGTCTGGAGTGGATGAGCACCAGGACAATGTTTTCTTTCCCAGTGGACGAGCACCTCATCTGGAAGAGCTGCACACACAGGCCCAGGAAGGGCTCCGCTCCCTACAGCACCAAGGTAACACTCCCCTTCCCCCCCCAGTGCTGTTCTCACCTTCTGAGGTCAAAGGCCTAGGCCGACACACCCTCCTGGTATCTTCCAGAAAAGCAGAAACTGAACAAGGGTGCCTGGGACCATGGAGACACCCAGAGCATCCAGGTGAGCCCTGCTTGCCCAGCCTCCTTTCTGTTCCCCTCTCCTTCCTTCCTTGGCCTCTGGCCAGCATGGCTTTAGACCCTTCTGGTCTGCTTCCTTCCTGCATCTCAAAGAGCTAGACTAAATGACTCCAGAGGGTTATTAGTCTAGGCTTGCTGTGGTTGATGTCTGCTCAGTTCCTAGGTGATGCTAGAGGATTCTTGAGTCGAACATTTCGGAGGGACTCTTGGGGTGGCCCACCCAGGTCAGGCCTTGACTCCTTCTCCTTCCCCCGACAGTCTTCCCGGACGGGGCCGGATGACGACACCATCTCCTTTTGTAGTCAGACCACATCCTACACAGCAGAGAGCTCCACAGCGGAGGATGCTCTCTCCATCCGCTCAGAGATGATCCAACGCAAAGGTGCCTGCAAACCAGTGGGGCAGGGGGAAAGGTGGTAGGCACTATAATGTCCCAACACATGCAGCTTTTCTTCTTCCTCCTAATCCAGTGTTTGCCCACGTTCTGGGAGAGTAGTGCTTTGTAGAACATGCCCTGAGTCCTTTTGCTCTAACGGGTTTTCTCTCTCCTGGGCTGGCTCTCAGGCTCTACCTTCAGACCCCATGACTCATTTCCCAAATCATCCGGAAAGTCAGGGCGGCGCCGGCGGGAACGGCGGAGTACAGTCCTGGGGCTGCCACAGCACGTGCATAAGGAGCTTGGTGAGCCTTGGCTAGGTACATGGAGGTGGTAGATGGGGAGCCCCAGCCAGTCCTTCTCTGCTCATCGCCTTCTCCTTGTCAATCCTAGGCCTGAGGATTGAGCGTGAGACACCAAGTACTCCTCAGCCTTCTGGTCCACGCGATGCTGTCCGAATCCCCACAGTGGATGGTCGTGCAGCTAGTCTGGCCTTAGGGGCAGGAGCTCGAGTGTCCCTGCAGGAACTAGAGGCAGAGGCAGAAACAGAGGCTGGCACTGATACCGAGGCGATGCTGCAGCGTCACATTGACCGTGTCTACCGGGATGACACCCTCATTGGCCGCTCCACAGGGGCCCGGCCCCCACCGTTGATCCGGCCCATGTCCCTAGCAGTGCCTGGACTGACAGGAGGGGCAGGGCCTCCAGAGCCCCTGAGTCCGGCCATGTCTATCTCACCCCAGGCTACCTACTTGTCCAAGCTGATCCCACATGCTGTGCTGCCACCCACAGTGGACGTGGTGGCCCTGGGCCGCTGCAGGCTGCGCACACTGAGCCGCTGCAGTTTACACTCTGCAAGTCCAGCCTCAGTCCGCTCCATGGGCCGCTTCTCCTCGGCCTCGAGCCCACAGCCCCGCAGCCGTCATCCTTCCTCCTCCAGTGACACCTGGAGCCACTCTCAGTCCTCTGAAACCATTGTGTCGGATGGTTCTACCCTCTCCTCTAAGGGGGGCTCTGAGGGCCAGCCGGAGGGCTCCGTGGCTAGCACTCATGTGGCATCCCCTCCCCAAGGGGGCAGTGGGAGGGGCTCCCCCAGTGGGGGCAGCACTGCCGAGGCCTCAGACACAGTCAGCATTCGAAGCAGCGGGCAGTCGTCCTGCAGGAGTGTGTCCCTCCGCAAGATGAAGCGGCCCCCGCCGCCCCCTCGCCGGACCTACTCTCTCCATCAGCGGGGTTCCATAGCTCCGGATGGGCCCTTAGGGTTGCCACCCAAACCTGAGAGGAGGCAGCAGCCACAGCTGCCCCGGCCGCCTACCACAGGGGGTTCTGAAGGGGTGGCCGCAGCACCCTGCCCACCTAACTCATCAGGCAGCTGGGTATCTGGCTTATCTCCAGGCGGCTCCCGGCGCCCCCCACGGTCCCCAGAACGGACACTTTCACCTTCCAGTGGTTACTCCAGCCAAAGTGGTACCCCCACCTTCCCTCCCAAGGGTCTCGCAGGTGCTCCTGCTTCCCCAGGCAAGGCCCAGCCCCCTAAACCAGAGCGGGTCACATCCCTTCGATCTCCCGGGGCCTCCGTCTCCTCTTCCCTCACATCTCTCTGTTCCTCCTCCTCGGACCCTGCCCCCTCAGACCGCTCTGCCCCACACGTGTCAGCCTCCCTGAGTGACAGGTTTGTTATCCCGCCTCACCCTAAGGTGCCCGCCCCCTTTTCCCCACCTCCTTCTAAGTCCAAGAGCATGGACCAGGCTTCCTCTGCCCTGGTTCCCGGGACCGGCTCCACCACGGATGCCAGTCCTGAATCTTCTCCCACTCCCCAGACATCCCTGACTCTACCCCAGGAGTCTCCTGTGGTCTCCAAAGATCGTTCACCCCCACCCTCCCCACCCCCATCTTATCATCCACCCCCACCACCTAGCAAGAAGCCCGAGGTGGCTGAGGAGGCCCCACCTGCTCCACAGACTACTGAGGAGGTCCCCCCAGATCCTAGTTGGCCCCCACCCCCACCCCCTGCCCCGGAGGAGCAGGACCTGTCTATGGCCGACTTCCCCCCACCTGAAGAGGCCTTCTTCTCTGTGACCAGCCCTGAATCTGCAGGCTCCTCAGAGCCTGACAGCACCCTGGCTGCTTCCCCCTCCAATGCCATCGTTTCCCAGAGCCAGCCCCAGGGTACTGCAGACCCTCCTCCAGCCCCGCCAGCCCCACCTGCTCCACCTGCTCCACCTCTAGCTAGTTCTGGCCCAGAGATTCTGGCCAAGCTCCCTGTGAAGGAGCCAGTAGGTTGTGTCAAGAGTGGCGGGGCACCCAGGGAAGATGCGCCCCTGGTCACACCCTCCCTCCTGCAGATGGTGCGGCTGCGCTCTGTGGGTGCTCCCGCAGGAGGTCCAACCCTAGCATTGGGGCCATCAGCTCCTCAGAAGCCGCTGCGAAGGGCCCTGTCTGGGCGAGCTAGTCCTGTGCCTCCGCCTTCCTCTGGGCTCCATGCTGCTGTCCAGCTCAAGGCCTCCAGCCTAGCTGCCAGCGAGGCCCTTGGAAGTGCCCAGGCCAATGGACCGCCCGAGGCTGTGCAGCGGTCTTCCCAGTCCCCTGCCTCCACAGCCAGCTTCATCTTCTCCAAGGGCACGAAGAAGCTGCAGCTTGAGCGGCCAGTGTCCCCTGAAGCCCAGGTGGACCTCCAGCGGAACCTGGTGGCTGAACTAAGGAGCATCTCTGAGCAGCGGCCACCCCAGGTCCAGAAGAAGGCTCCCCCACCTGTGGCTCGAAAGCCCTCTGGGGGAGTGCCCCCACCCTCTCCCAGCTTTCCTCAGGCTGAGTCCCTTACTGCGCCTTCCACCAATGGGCTCCCTCATGCTGAGGACAGGACTAAGGGGGACCTGGCAGAGAATGGGGGTGTCATGCAGCTGGCTGGTACAGAGAAGATGAGCCCCCCAGGTTCAGGTACAGTGGCCAGTATCTGAAGTTCTCTTGGGAATGTGCGTTTACATCTGTCAAGACTTCTGGTTTTAGGATGCCTGGGGTTGGTGAACTGTCATTCTTGAGCTGTGGGGAAGCAGGGGAGGGTGTGCAGATGTCACCGTGTGTAATCCAACCCCATGATAGCATTCAGGTACAATGTCCCGCTCGATGCTGCTGACATGGTTCAGCATGGGGAAATAGGAAGGCTGGATGAACATGCGCCTTGGGCTTGGTGTCAGAAGCTGAGATGTTCCCTTGCTTATGTCTCCCTTTTCCTCACAGACTGACGGAAAGAGCTGGTCTGAACCATTACGTTCACTGGCACTGCTGACCCATCCCAGGAACACAATCTCAGGGACCTGAGCAGCTCCAAGGACAGAAGGATATGGCAGACACAACCTAAGAGGGGACGCCTGCAGCCTTAACCTCCACAGCCTTCCATGTTTATGCAAGCCTGGGGTTGCCCGCCCTCCAAGCCACCTGCTCTCATGCCTTTTCCAGAAAGGATTTGCCTCCAGCAGCTGCTTGCTTCCGTCTTGGCCTTAGCCTCATATTGAAGGAGGTAGCTGGTGAGAGTGGGTAGCTACATTCCCTGCTGGCTCGAGGTCACAGGTTGGGGTGTGTGTGTGTGGGAGCAAAAACACTTCACGTGTTTATTTTGTTTCATGTCCAAATCATGCACATACTGTAGTCCAGAATCAAAGCACTTTTGCAAAGTGGCTGCATGTCCATCCTCCAGGGCTCGTGAAACCACATTCCAAGGGCCTGTTTACATGGTGGCAGCACCAGTCACCGGTATCCAGCCAAAAGCTGGGACCAATCTGCCCTTTCTTTCCCAATCCAGTTGCTTCTTTCCTTAGTTCTTGGAGGTGGGCAAGTCACCCATTCCCTCAGGCTTCCCCCCCAGGACAGGGCAGGAGTGGGGCTGTGGAATTCCAAAGCACAAAAGGTGCAGTGGGACCTAGCCTTCCTGTGCCTCAACTTAACCACCAAGCACCCTCCTGCCTTCTAGTTCTGCCAGGTGCTCCATGTAAGGGACAAGAAGTAGGAGATTACCAGGGTCCAAGTAACTGGGGGAGGACCAGAGGGAAGGTCCCAAAAGGCACTGTCTTCAGAAAGTGAAAAATAGATTGGAATACTACGTATCTGCTCCTTTCGTTGAATTGAGCTTGGCAGAGAGTACAGTACTAAGGGGGTAGAAGAAGTGGGGAGGGGTCTGGCAGGAAGAGGGCTTATTAGGGCAGTGGCCCCAGATCTGCTAGACCCTTGGACTTCTGACCTTCTCCTTTGCTCTCTGGTGCATGTCCTTTGTGTAGCTGCCTTTTGCATTGGGTGGTTCCCCTGGAGGGGGGCTGACATAGACAGTGCAAGGTTGGGAAACCAAAGGTGCATTTACTCCAGATTCTTCCCTGCTCAGTGAGGGGATATCTAGTGCTTCTAGGGAGCAGATGGGGTAGGGTGGCTGTCCCTGGTATTAGCCTCTGCTATTGATCTCCCCCTGGAAATTTTGTCCAAATTGGGTTTGAATTCGTTATCTGATTCTTTCACTTATTGGCTGGCTCTCTATCACCGGGAGCCACATCTCCAGTCCCTCCCCCTGGGAATTTTAATGTCCACTGTTTTCAGCCTATCTAGGAAAGCTGGATTCCCCACCCTCTATGGCTGAACAGAACTGGTCCTACAGCCACCATCCAATGTGGCAGGCACCATGTGTGTGTCACTTCCTGATTCTCTTTCACCAGAACCTTGTTAGGCTTCTCTACCACAAAGGAGAGTGTCAGTTACCCCTGCCATCAACACAGTAACAAGATTTGGGGACAGACAGGGTGCTAGTTCGTGGCTGTAATCCTAGCACTTGGGAAGCTGAGGCAGAAGGATCTTGAGCTCCAGACCGGGGGACACTTGAGTGAGAGCCCAGGTTCCCTCTGTCCTGTCTAGGGCTTCTTCAGTTGATGACTGTAGCCTCCAACCAATATCCTCTTGCCTGGTGGGCAATGGAGAGTGAGCTGCTGCTGGGTATATTCTGCTGTCCAGTGAGTTGGGGGACAGTCTATAAGCACTCTGCTGCTCCAGGACCTGTCAACCTCCTCCCTTGCCCCCCACCCCCCCAAGACCTAGGAGCTGCTGGGGGTAGAAGGCAGCCCTGACATTTGTCTTTCCTCCAATGTTATTGGAGCTTTTATCTGTGCTTGTTTCCCCATGGTTGGGCCAGAGTACAAAGGAGATGCCTGAATCTGGAAGAGGCAATCCTTTGTCCTCAGGCTAAAATGAGGTTGACATAGTGCAAGTGGAAACCAAAAGCCTGATTTTTAATTTGCGCAAAAATGTTAGAAGAGATAAGTACATATATATATATATATATATACATATATATTTCTTTAAATTTCTGAGTCTTTGATATGTCTGTATAACAATCCATTCTCCTTGCCCTGAAGCTTGAGTGAGACACATGAAAAAGCTGTTTCATTTAAAGGTATTAATTAATTAAATGATTGAAACTTGGCTGTGACTGTTGCTTTTTCCTTCCATGCTAAATGGGTCATACATGGCTAGTGAATAGTAAATTGTAAAAGGTTGAAGTACATGTCACACAATAGTGTGAAAATCTAGTCACCAATTTCATGACAGCAAACAGATTTGGTGCTGTAGCAGCTGGCTGACCTAAATTTTTGTTTTTTTGGTTGCTTGTGGGCTTGAACTCAGTCTGGGTGCTGTTCTTCAGCTCAAGGAGAGCGCTCTACCACTTGAGCCACAGCATCACTTCCGGTTTTCTGGGTGATTTATTAAATAGTCTCACAGACTTTCCTGCCTGGGATGGCTTTGAACTGCAATCCCTCAGATCTCAGCTTCTTAGTAGCTAGGATTACAGGCATGAGTCACTGGCCCCCAGCTTGACCTACATTTTAAAGGGAAACTGTTCTGTCTGCTGTAAGTATTGGACCCACCATGAAACTCTTCTACTTAATACTGCCAAGGGGAAAGTTAGGCTCATCCATCTTACCATCTCATTCATTCTGCGAGAGACTAAAAGTTCAAGACACCAAGCTGGGTAAATGGGAGGGGTCTTTTTTTTGTTAGTCATGGGGCTTGAACTCAGGGCTTGGGCACCATCTCTGAGTCCTTTTGCTCAAGGCTAGCTAGCACTCTGCTATGAGCCAGTGTTCCACTTCTAGTTTTCTGGTGGTTAATTAGAGGTAAGAGTCTCACAGACTGCTGCCTGGGCTGGCTTTAAACTGTGATCCTCAGATCTCAGCCTCCTGAGTAACTAGGATTACAGAAATGAGCCACCAGTGGTTGGTCATACCAGGTCTTTTATACTTAGAAGTCTCCAAAATGGTCCAGCCAACACATTTTATTTTGACAGTGATTTGATTGAGATACTTTGTGGAGAAGTACCCCACCCTCTCTGAAGAAAGAACCACTTAGTGCCAATCCATTCCATCCTAAGTACACACAGCTGGTTCGGGGAGTTCCCACCCTAGCTTTAGATCAAGGGAAATTCCAGGAGCCCTGAGGCTGGCCCTGCTCCCCCAGACCAGTGCCAAGCCTCCTGGAAGACAGGCTTTGAGAAAGCTGCCAACCTTTGGTAGCTTAGTAGACCATTAGGGTCTTTATTTTCCCTTCTCTTTCCTTTGCAAATCCCACAATTTCCTGTTGGGGAGAAGCTGTAATTAGCCCAGTGCAGGCACCAGATCCCAGCTAAAGGCACTGTTGCTGGGTAATTCCAAGAAAACCTGGGAACCACAGTGTTTTTCCAATTATAAAGGATTGTGGCATAAACTTCTATGAGTTACATTGAAACCAGACTTGTCAGCTGTCAGTGGAAGCAGACTGAATCACATTCTCTGCTGCTGCTCAGCCCTCCTTACCTCCTGGGGAGGGGGGGGGGTGTTGGTGTCACACTGCAGCCAGACAGGGTATTATTCCAGCTGTGGTGAGGGAGGGCTATTTCTTATGGAGTTTCAGATCTGCTGTTTCAGTATCCTGAATTTTTCCTTTTTTGGCAGTACTCGGGTTTGAACTTGGTGTCCAGCAATGGCATCTTGTACTCACTAGGGCAGGCAGTCATACCTTACTTGAGCCATGCCCCAGCTTTTGCTTCAGTACCCTGACAGCTGAGCAAATGGATGAGAGATGGATGGAACTGAGATAGCAGATGCTCTGGAAGTAGGAAAAAAAGAGAGACCCTGGGATGGCTAGCTGATGTTCCCCCCCTTCAGAGATTTACAGGAGATGTGCCCCAGCTTGGTCATGAAGTTGATTTGCTTCCACTGTGCCACGTGCTCCTCAGAAATTTTAAAGTCGACCTGGACAAGATAGACAAAAAGTTATGGTGTAGGATCATAAGGAAACATCTTTTGTGTTACTGGTAGTGTAATCTGGCTCAACTTTAATAGAACACAAATTTGCCTATGGTCATTTTTTTTTGCCAGTCCTGGGGCTTGAATTCAGGGCCTGGGCACTGTCTCTGAGCTTTTGCTCAAGGCAAGCACTCTACAGCTTGCGCTACAGCGCCACCTCTGGCTCTTTCTGTGTATGTAGTACTGAGGAATCAAACCCAGCTAGGCAAGCACTCTACCACTAAGGCACATTCCCAGCCCAATGCTCTTTTTTTTGGTCGGTCATGGAGTCTGAACGCTGGGCCTGGGTGCTGTCCCTCAGCTCTTCAGCTCAAGGCTAGTACCCTACCACTTGAGCCACAGCATCACTTCCAGCTTTTTCGGCTTATGTGGTGCTGAGGGATCGAACCCAGGGTCTCATGCATACAAGGCAAGCACTCTACCACTGAGCCAACTTCCCAGCTCATAATGCTCTTATTTTTGGATGAACATGTTCATTTGAAAGATTTAAGAAATTAATGATGACAAGCACAAAGGCCTCCAAACTAAGACATCTACTGCAGTATCCTTTAAAAAATTGTGTTTTTTTCAGTGCTAAGGATCAAACCAGGGTCTAGGTGTGCTGAGCAAGCCCCTTACCACTGTGCCTCACTTCCAGCTTATCATAGCTTTCTAACAGTGAAGAACAACCACTTCGATTTCAATATCTAGTAAGGTTCAGAATATTAAGTTACGATAAAATAAGACTACAATGTGACCCCCGCCCCCAACAGTGATGGTGGGGCAAAGTTTTCAAGCATAAAGTAAAATTTAAAAGGCAGAACAGTATAAATCAGACTGTAAGTATACCTCTGCACATAAAAAAGTAGAAGGAAAACATTAATGGTGTTTCTTTAGCAGCTCTGTGGCAGGACTAGGGATATTTCTTTTCTTCATTATTTGCTCTGTATTAATTTTGTGTGCGTGTGCACATATACACATACACATTGGTACCAGGGCTTGAACTCGCAGGCTTGCACTGTCAGTGCCCTATATTTTAGATATTGTTTATAATAAAAATTTATAGCTAGTGAAAGTGATTCATAAAGCCTTAAGGAGAAAAAAGAGTAGACAAAGCCATTTGCTTTGTGCAGTAAAGTGGATAAAGGGAAGATATCTAAATGCTTTCTGAAAACTCCAATTGAGGAAACAAAGGTTTAACTAGAGAAAGTCACACCTGAGTGTTAATTTTATGAAGAGAGTCAGTTTCTGCTGTTTTTACTCATGTACAAGTACTTAGTCCTGGGCCTGACAAACATATTATGGACTTGGTGCTTGTTGAAAAATAGATCCTGGGAACACTGGGCCCTTGCACTGCTCTACCATAAAGCTATACCTCCAACCCTCGCTGTCACTTCAGATGATGTGTGCCCTTGGCAGATTTCCTGCCATGTAGAATGAGGACAATCATCTGCTTTTCTTACAATGTCTCAAACAGTCTGCCAGTGTTCAATAGAGTGGTTTTCAGACCCTCATGCCCTCACATTCAGGAATTTTAATGAAGAGGGCTCATAAGCAGGAAGTTCCAATGGATTAAATGAACAGGCTGTGTGTGTGTGTGTTTGTGTGTACAGGAAAACCACAACATTTTACCTGCAACTTCTCAAAGACTTTCTTCTTGGGCTTGAGCTCCTCATCTGGCTGGCCCTTCTCATAACCCTGCACAAATACTCGCTCCCCAGGAGCAGAGCCTGCAGGCGGGTCCAGAGGTTCAACCTGACGGCTCCCCCCTTCTCTGGGAAAATAGAGGAAAAGGAAATGTGAAACTATGGATGATTCCAACAGCTGTGGAGGCCAAAACCATTTGGGCCTTGACAGAAATGCCAATGGGAATTACAAAATTTTCAGTGCCACATCCTAGGAGTTCCTCATTGCTTTACCACATCTCAGGATATCATAGGATTAGATTAACTAGGGCTACACCAAATTCCTATGTCTTGTCAGGAAAGATACTAAAATTTTGCCTTCTAGGAGAGGAAGTATGATATAGCCCAAAGGCTTTACAGTCAATCACAACTGGATTTGAATCATGGCTCCACCTCTTACTATTCCTAGTTCAACAAAATTTTATTTTCTTTCTTTTTTATTGGGGGAGTGCTGGCACTAGTGCTTGAACTCAGGCCTTGGGTGC